CTCCAAAAGTAACAACTACCTTGATTTTTCATAGTAGTCACTTAAATATCTTCTTGATTTTATCACTAAAGTGTTTATCATTAAATGTTATACTTTGGTGTCTATTTTTTTAAACTTAATATCTCCTTCAAATCTCCTTGTCTTAATATTTTCATCCCTGTGACAAAATACTTTACAGAAACAACCTATGGGATAAAGAATTTATTTGCTCACAGTTTCAGAGGGTTCTCAAGCTATCTCCACTAACTGCTTACTGCTTTCCTTGGCAGTCATTCCACATTCCTAGCATCTCCAACTTCCTTGGGACTCCACTGCAGGTTAGGCTTCACCCTCACAGCTTCACAAGTCACCTGCTCGGGGGTTGCAGGTAGGGAATTCCAACCCTTCTACACATTTGCCTGGTTTCTCCACCCTTCCTTTATAATCTGGTGGAAGCCTCCATGACCCTGTAGCTCTTGCATTTTCCATGCCCACAAAACCAGCACAAAGTGAAAGACACCAAAGTCTGCTGCCAGCTAAAGGAACAACTGGGCCCTGTTATACCATGGCTGCAGTGACCTCTTAGTATCTGGGCAGTGAACACAGGGCAATACTTCCCTAGGCCCACTGTGCAAGAAGGGCACCACAGAAGTTCTCTCTAATTGAAGGCAAGTCTTTCAAATGCATTTACACTTTTATACCCTCCAAGCTGTATGAGTGGGGTCTGGTCAATTCCAGAGATGCCCTCAAGGCATCCTTTCTATTTTCCTAATGCAAAGTTCTTGGCTGTTTTTAATGGCCCTAATCTCTTCGGCAGCCACACTTTCCTTGGCCCCAACTTTATACAAACTGTAAGTTTTTCAAACTTTTAAACACTGCTTTTTACTCAAAATTCTCATTGTAAACTTGGCTAAAAGCAAGCCATAGTTTGAATGCTGGACTACCCTGAAATTTCTATCAGATTAATTAGTCTGTCACGTTGGCCTCCCACAAAGTCTTGGGACATAGACAAAATTCTTTGCCAGAATGCAACATGAATGGCCTCTAGTCCAATTCCCAATAAGAGTCCTTGTTCCTGTTTGAAACCTAATGAGCATGGCTTTCACTGTCCACATTCCTGTTGGCATTCTGGTCTTCTGAGCCCTCACTAGAATTACTTCGGAATGTAAAGGCTTTCTCCAGCCACTTCTCCAAACTTTCAAATCCCTCTCATAAACCAGCTCCAAAGGCTCAAGAACCACCTGGTCAAGTGCAGTCACAACAATGACCCCACCTCTCTAGTGCCAATTTTCTCTGTTAGTTACTTTTACAAACCTGTGACCGAAATACCTGACAGAAACAACCTGAGAGAAGGACTCATTCTGGCTCACAGTTTCAGAGGGCTCTGTGTTTCTTGGCCCAACATGAGGCAGAATATCATGGAAGGCTATTCACCTCATGGCAGACAGGAAGCAAAGAGTAAAAGAAGGACCAGGAACCAGGTACAACCTTCAAAGACATCCCCTTAGTGACCTACTTCCTCCAAATAAGCCCTACCTCCTAAACCTGCCAAAATAGCACCCTCTCTGAGGACCAAACATTCAACACATGAGCCTGTGAGAGACATATTCAAACCATAACAAGGAAGAAAAAAGCAAGATCAAGAGCATCCTGCCTCCTGTTTGGAGTATGCTGGCCCTCAGTGAAGGCCAGCGTATCTATGAAGTCTGTCATTTATGTCTTCCAATAAGAGCTTGCTCAAGAGTTCCAGGATCCTCACGTTGCTCTACATCAAACCCTATCTGTGTTTAAGGGATACACGGGAACCCATTTATAAAGGTGTACTAGTTAATCCAATCATATCTCCAATTGATTGAACTTCTGACAATGCGGAGAGAAAATGTGGAGTAGAAAAGAGTCTAAGGACAGGTTAGTGTGCTAGGCATTTAGCATGAAGGGAGTAGCTCCTTATGGTTTGGGGCTCAAAAGGTATTTCTTTACAGGAAATACAGGCGGTAGGGTAGACATTATTCTATGATACTTTCAGAAAAAAAGTGAACATGTTTTCTCTTGGCTTGCTGAAATCTGATTCACATTTCTATGGTAAAAGATAAATTATAATCAAGGATATCAGACTACTTTAAATGGATGTGACCCTCTGGGCTGATAGGTGTTTGTAGTGGTGAATAGCTGTGATGATCACATTTCAATGATCAATCAACTGGTACGTTCTATGGAGCTAGTATTATTCTTAGTTTCATAAGTACAGAATGACCATATTTTCTAAAACCAAAATCAGGATATAAGGAATAGAGACAGAGAAAAATAGAATATATGGACTAGAGACAGAAAAAAAACAGGGCTTGCTATGTGCCAGTCAGTATTCTAAGTGTCTGACATATATTACTTTAATTCCAACAACTGTATAATGTATATACATGTATATATATAAATGTGTGTGAATATATATATGTGTATATATATATATATTGTTATTGCCATTTTATAGATAAAGAAACTGAGTCATGGAAAAATTAAGTAAGTTACCTAAGGTTATAGAGCTAATAAACAAGGAAGCCAGTGTTTTAACTCTGGAAGCCCATATCCTAACACTGAATTTGAATAATGAAAAAAATATATTATATATACTATCATATATTATTATATTTTGTTGAAAAACTCATGTCTATCTAGAACCTTAAATGTGACCTGTGACTACAATTTTATTTGAAAACAGAGTCTCTGCAGAAGTAATAAAGTCATATTGGATTAGAATGTGTCCTAATCCAATAGAGGGAAATTTGGACATGTATATAGTCACAGTATATAATCACAGTCACTACATGACTAAGGGACAGAGTTGAAATGATGTGTCTGTGAGTCAATGAATGCCAAGGACTGCAACCTTGGCAGAGGCAAGAAAAGGATCCTTTCCTAGTGCTTTTGGATAGAAATCTTCTTTAATAAGCTTGATCAAGATAGTAAAATTATTACCTGTATGAGGTTATCAAGTTTTAATTCTCTGTGTTTTGCATTTCTTTCAAATCCAAAGCCTTTCTAAGTTACTGCTGTAGTGTTCTATATGGAAGATACTATTTTAATTCAAGTAGTATTTTAGTCTACTTGAGCTAAATTTTTAGCCAGTTGCTGATAGCCAACTAAGAAAATAACTTTATGGATACTGTCACTGTATTTACAATAATTAGGAGGCACAAAGGGACAAATTCCTGCAAAAGCTTTTGAAATTCTGAAAGTGTTTTTTCCTTAAGAGACAACAGGATTAGTTTCATAAATTTGGGTGCCACTTCTTTTTCTTTATATGAATGACATACAACCTAACTCCACTCTGTTATTCCCACCTTACAAAGCATGCTCTAAAAGCTACTTGAAAGTATAAGCTTTGAGCCAAGAAATACTTTTTCCTAAAGAAACTGTATACTATAACAGATACTACCTGTGGCAAACTCCAGACTAGATATCATGCATACTTTACCAGATTTAATTCTCATAATGATTCAATAAGCTATGTATTAAAGGTTTATAATCTCTCATCTTAAACCCTGGTACCAGAACTGTTTTGGATTTCAGCATTTTTTTATTTTAGAAAAACAGCATGGTACATAAAATCTGTATAGCAGAATACCTCTAGTGGGGTCTAGGGTACCACTTAGCTATCAAAAAGATGAATATTTTTCCATCAAAAAATTAATTTTCACAGCAAGAGGAATGAATGATGACTCTAAAAGTTTCATGGTGGCTCAGGTTCATACCTGATAGATAAGTTCAAGGCATGCCAAGTTTTTAAAAGCTGGTTCCCTAAATGTTTTGAATTTCATAACTGTGGATATGAACATGTGGACTCACATGACTCTCATCCTCTAAAGGAGAAAAAGGTCAACTAGAGTAGAGTAACTCACCCATAGGTGTGTAGACAGGAGTTGCGATTCAGAACCGTGTCTGTCTGGCCATCTTTGTACCATACTCTACGCCTTACAAGGGTTACTTTATTCCATAATCAAGACAAACCACAGAAATGAGACAGTACACTACAGAATATGACACTGGGTAACATGACATTTCTACTAGGAGAAAGATCTGTTCAGGGTTTCAACTCCAGGCACTACCTATCTCACTCCCAAGATGAGCTGACCCATGAGGCAGTAGGAAAGAAACCTCTGTAAGCTTTGGAAGATCAGGGAAGAGGCAGGATGGGGGCCTGACTGTGTGGAAAGAGAAAGTGAAGTCTCTGAAGGCAGGAGGAGTGTGAGAGGGCTTGGAAGAAAATGTGAAAAGTGAGAGTGGAAAGCAGGACTGTCCAAGTGCAGGAAAGAACATAGATCTAGGGGCTCTAGCAAGACAGGACCAATGTGCACTGGACAGACATGAGAAGATATAGTAGAAAGGAGGGACTTTTTTCTCCTCACAAATGAAAAACAACACTAAGAAAAGGAAACAATGGGAGAAAACAACTTATCCTGTCCTTTCCACTCTTTTTGCCCTTTCCTTCCAGCCAAACTTCCCACGGCCATTAGCAGCACTAGGAAGGTATCAAGGAGAGAGCCTCTGTACTGAATGGGCCCAGTTCTGTGCCAGGCAGTACAGCAGCACTTCACTTGACATCATTCAGCCCTAACGACCTTTCAACGTTTTATAGATGGGCAACAGACTCACTAAGGGGAAGGTACCCAAGGTCACAGACCAGGAAGAGGTGAGGTGAGATTCAATCACAATTCAGAACTATCCCAAAGCCATGTTTCTCTTAAGAACTAGAAATGGGTGAGTGGCTATGAACAAAATAGCAGGAAATCCAGGGGCTGAGTGGAGAGCCATATTAGGCATTGTGGAGGGTGGGGACTATGAAGAAAGAAAAATTGCTATCAGCCAGGAAAATTTCTGCAGCAGCTGGGACATGAGAAACAGACACAAACCAGATGATCATAAGTTAGAGACAGATTGTTAAAATAATCCACAGCAACTAAAACATCAATGAGCCATGTAAATTCACTAACAACAAATTAAAAGTAACCCAACAACGTACTTACTTCCCAAAGTTCATAGAGCTCCTTTCTGAAGTCTTCTGGTAGGAGCTGGGTTATCTGTTTCATAGCTTCCTGAAATATCAAACCATTACTTTCATCATGTTCACATTTACCAAAGTTAACAACTAGTCTATAAAAGCTAAATGAGGGGCTCAAATTCTTACAAATAAATCGCAAAGGGACAGTAGAATAAATGAACCTCTATTGGTACCAAAATTCTTTTTGTAAAGTATCATATTTATTTTCTATTATTACTATGATTTTATTGAAAATGTAAAGTACTATACAAGGAGGCAATTACTGCCATTAACATAAAGGAAGATATACATTTTTGTAGGTTCACAGACTCACAGGTTTTATCACAGAACACTTCTGTCCTCTCTCCACAAACATGCCCAGTGGTAGGGGACCCAGCACCTCAAGAAGCTGCCATATGGACTTTAGGCAGCATTGACAAAAAGCACTTTCTTACCTCAAGCTGAAAATTGTCCAAGTAGTTCTTCCATTGTGCCTAACCCGGTCCTTCCTAATTCTCCATCACCATCCAGTGCCACACAGGTAGACAGTGACCAGCTTGTGGATTACTAGCTGTAGAACCCTGAGTAAGTTATTTAACCTCTTTGTCCACAGGTTTCTCATTTATAAAACTGATACCTTTCTAAGAGGACTACTGTGATAACAAAGAGTTACTGTGATAACTGAGAATTAATACACATCAAGTGCTTATAACCTATACATATGAGGCCTCTCTATAAATGTAGTTTGCTCTATTCTTCATTTTCTCCATCCTGCCATGATTACTCCCATGATCAGGTCCCAGCTGTTAGCCACTTTAACCCTCACAGATCCATACGTACCATGACTCTGCTTTCTACTTTAACAGTTTTCCCTTTGCAAAGGTGTATTACCCCACCACTGCTACATTCCAGCAGCTAGGTCCATCCCCGCATTCCTGATGATCCTTGACAGTCAACACTGACCAATTCAGGTTATAATAAGAATTCTATGTTACCATGTTTAGGAGGGCGCCTTCTATAAGTATTGCTTTTGGCTCCCTTCCAGAGTTTTGCTTTCTATGTCCTCATTCTTCCTTTCATCTTAAAACCTGACCTCCAAAATAGTCAGCCTTCCAATTTACCAAATATTTTTCTTCTTTCCTTGCTCAGTGTAAAGGCTGGCTGGCGCAGGCTGATGGCCTCAGGGCAAATGATGCTTCCTGGTTTTCATTATGCATGTTTCACCTCAGGTCAAGAAGTCCTGTTTAATTATCTTAATGCATGGCTCAGAAAGCTGAATCTTATTCATAAACACCATCTGCATACAGAATTGCTCGCCTCCCAGACCTCCCTGTTCTCAACTCCTGACCAGCAAAAAGAAGAAGCAATGGAGTATCAGTGCTCTCCATGCCCTGGGTTTCTTGGCCAAGAACTTGATGTTCTTTGAGCTATTTCCTTGCTCCCTTCTGCCTATGACATTCATTCTCCTGTGAATCAGCAGGAGTGGGCAGCAGCCAGAAGGCTTAATTAGGCCAGAAAGATTTTCGTCCTAGCCAAAATACAACAACAACAAAGACAGCAGTATCCTCTAATTGTTCAGGTCCCTGTGCCCCTCCATGGGGTGACACTAGACAGGACCCAACTTCTGTGAAGACAGCAGTAGGTCTACCTCACCTCCAATGGCTGGAGATCCTTCACATTGACTATGGTTCTTCTCCAGAAGGTTCTGACTTGCTCCTCTGTAGAACAAATACTTGCATCTCCAGGACAGTTAGTCTTTTTTAATTCCTTTCTGTTACATTTCCCTTTACCTTCTCACTTTTAGGTGTTTGATGACCCTCTGGTACTTCAGTATAATTTCTCCTCTACAATGTCCAGATTTACCCATGAATAAAACTATCATCCTCAAAAGAGCTGCATAACTGAGGAGTTTTTTTCCCCATTCATTTCTTCTACATCATCTTTTATTACTCAACATTACTCACCATCCTCGGGTTCAAGTGCCAACTCCTTTCTGCAACTCAAAATTGTGAGCAAAAAAATTTTTTGTATTAATTCCACAACCAACCTAGGAATTCTTGATTCATGAATTCTTACTCTCATATAGAGAAATATTTCCTTAGCTTCCCCCGACTTCTACTATCATGATGGCTAACCCATATTTTGGATCTGTCTTTTGGCAAGAAAAGGAATGCATTCCTTATACTATTCCCCTTGTGCTTATATTTTAGGGTGGGTTAGGAATCCTAAGTTAGAACTCTTAATTCTTTGTGGATCTTCTTGCCTTGAGAGGGGCAAAAAAATCTATTAGCTACTGAGCTGTAGATGCTGTCAAGTCTGCAAACAGCTATTTAAGTCCACCTGCTCTGCTAAACCATCTCAGTAAAGGCTCTCTTACTAAGCAGATTAGTACCAATCTCTAACATCTACAATAAAAATTGTTTACAATTATCTCTGAACTGGAAACCAGCTAGTCACCATTTTATAAAGCGCTCTTAGATTTTTTTAGCCTCTGTTCTTTGGCCCTTGGCTCTGGGTTTAGAGCTCAAATTAACACTGATTTAATATTTTATCTTGACTATCCAAATGAAAATATACAAATGTTTTTCTGTTTTTAAACTTCTAACCTCTAAGTTAAAGGACTAACTTTAAAATTTACTAAATAATAATTATAATAATGATTGTACTTGTGATTTAGAGAAGTTCTCATCAAAGAGCTAAACTAGTGTGGAGAATTTCCACAAATTCACTTAAGTTCCAGATACTTCCATTATTCTAATGAACACCATACTATTAGAATATTATTAAGAATTGAAGTCAGCATGACTGTCTGTCCCTGTGTTAAACAAGGTTGGGAGCAGGCATACATTCCTATTCTTTAGTTAAACAAGGCTGAGGATAAGCAAATCCCAATTGCTGATTACTCTAGGAAATCTGTAAACCACTTAAAACAGTAAGCACTAACAGCCTGTTCTTTAAGACTCTTTTTAAGACCTTCCCTCACTAATTCCCACCAATCCAAAGTTATTAAGTCCTAAACTATGCAATCCCAACTAGTTGCCTATCATCTTGTAAGAGCCATCTCTTTAGGATCTATCTAAGGCCCTAAAACTCTAAACATATCCTGTATAACCTTCCCTTTCCATAGACACCGAACACTATGTCTTTGTAGGTGGGTCCCTCCTTATAGGTCTCATGAACTTAATTTTACTTCAGTAACAGGTTTTCTTGGTATTCTTTTACAGAGTCAATTATCAACACTGACCTCTTCTCGCTTATGTTTTTCTTCTTTGGGGATGTTATCTGCTGGTGCTATGTCCCCAACAATGCATTCTGCCATATCATGAACGAGGGCTAGGCGTATACATCTGAACAGCAAGAAATAATGAATAATTACACAGAATGATATTCACTACAAGTTTCTTTTCTACAGCATTTTGAAGTTATATAATGTATTTTTCTTTCTCCGTCCTCATAGAATATTTTAATACAGTGTTAAAAGTAACTATATCCCACCAGCCTATAACTGTTCTGAATCAAAACTGCTAGTGAATTTTCAACGCAATACTTGGGAGTGCAGGGAAAAGTGCACTAATTTTTTTTTAATGGCTGGTTTTGCAAATCCCATCTTAAAAGATTCATAACTTCAAGTTACAGATGATCTGCTTATAGCAGATACAAGATTTAGAAATGATCCTTACCCCAATGTTCTAGTTAAATGCCAAAATAAAACAGTTTATAGGATAAATGGTACAGCTGGAAAGATACGGATTTGAATTAGGAACCATCTCTTACTAGCTAGGTAACCTTTGCAAAATTATTTAAGTGCTCAATTTTGTCACCATACATTTTATCATGTGTAAAAAAGTAATGATACTTCATAAAGTTGATGTGAAAATTAATTTTGATACATTATGTTCCTGACACATGGCTATGATTAGTAATAATGACCATCATCCGAATACCAAAGGCAAGCAATGAGGTGAAGGCCCCAGACGGCCAATCTTCTTTATGTTCCCACTATTACCTAACAGCCTCCTCTTAGGTTTCACTGCCCTAAGTCTCTCTCTCATCCAATTCAAATCTCAGACTGAGTTCATTCATCTTTATCTAACTCACTTTCATCTAGTACTACTGAACAAAAATTTTCTTAGCTCCACACCATCTGCTGAGTTACAGGACTCTCCTGGCTCCCTAATGAACCTTTTGTTACAATCAAATTGATTTCCTTCTCATTTCCAAGATGTTCCTCTGCTTTCCTACCTTCAGGGCTTTGGTTTCTATGCCCTTCTCTCGGCATACTTGTACTACTTCTCTACCTGCACCAACTGTTTAGAGCTCAACTCAGATGCATCTCCTCCATGAAGACCAACCAAGAATAGGTGATCTCCTGAACTTTCAGAATACTTTGCAAATTTTTTACCACAACTTCTAACTTCTTTTGTGATTTTTTTTTTAAAGGAGCTGCTTTGGGTCCATCTAATTCCTTTACTGTCTTATATGTACACTTTTGTCATGTGCTCCAAAAGCATTTTAAACCCTTGTTCATTGACTAAAGCAGAGGAGCTGCTTACCTGTTTTTCAGCTATATTCTTCACATACAACTCTAAAGTCACCTTGCAAATAGGTGCTACTATTCACAAAAAGGGCTGGATAAAAACAAATAGTAAATGAATATAATGATATAACACACACCTTCAAGGCCCTAACACCATACTTATATTTCCTCTGAGACCTAGGAAGGCTCTATTAACAAAAAACCCACATTGCAGTTTATAACGACTAAAGCACACAGAGTTCCACTTCCCTTATCCTGAATAGTAGGCTTGAAATAATTTTTCTTGACTTATAAACTAACCTATCAGAATTTGTCAGAAGCCAAACTCATTAAAAATGGTGTACACCCACAGACTAAAGACTCTCACACAAATCAAAGCTAGATCGGCTTACCGGTCTTTGTTAAGATGGTCATCTTTGGTCACCATAGCCATAATTGCCATCCGGTACATATGATCTGATACGCTTTCTGGATTTTCCACATTTCTGTACACCCAGCCAGTCCGTGGTACTCTCTAATCGATACAAAGAATAAAAACTTTACAACAGCAGGTATTTGAACTACCTACTATGCTCTTCAAGAGATGCCCAGAGTCACGGTTTCAGAACTTATTAAAAATGCTTTACTGAACTAACCAAAATGATCAACGTCTGTAATCAAATAACTAGTGTGGTCAAAGAATGAAATGGGAGCAAGCAAGAAGTAACTCACAAGTATATGAAAGCCCAACAGCCAAGTTACCCCATGTTACTGAAGCTAATTATGGGACAGACATATGTGAGGATTTTAGACATTTAAAAAAAAAGAAAAGAAAATGGGAGCTGTGTGTGGTGGGTGGTGCACTCAGGAAACTGAGGCTGGAGATCCGAAGTTGGAAGCCAGCCTAGGCTGCATGGCAAGACCCCGTCTCTACAAAACAACAAGAAACCCTGCATTTTTCCTAACCACAAGAGTTAGCATTTTGCCTTCAAACAATCCCATCCTAGACAAATAGAAAGCCCTAGGCTGGAGGTTCAATTCATTCCACCACTAGTCGTGGCCCCGTCCTTTTACTCAGTGTGATCTTGTGAGACTGCATTTTCTCAGAACTGTACATTTCCAAAGAATGTTACTAACACTAGTCTCAAGGCATGAAAACAGATGATCTGACTTGAACTTGGGGAGCTTCTGCAAAGTCAGTAACTGCAATGGGAGGGCGGCACGTGATGATTCTGGCGTGATGTAAAATCCTCCGTGGAAATGAAGTCTCCTTACTCCTGTGAGGCAGTTAACGCAAGGCACTCGGCATCTGAGAGCCGCGGGCGCTCGAGCACAGAACCAGCTCGGCCCTCGGGGGCTCGCGCGACTGCTCTTCCCGCCGACCAGGCCGCGGGGACGGCGTTTCGCGTCCCGAACCCCGCACGGCGGGGAGGGCGGAGGAGGGAAGACCGCGGCCCAAAGTCGCTCCTGGCCGCTCCAGCTCACCTTGAGCTGCCCCACCAGCCGCAGAAATTGCAGCAGGTGCCGGGTCCCGGAGGAAGACGAGGCGGAAGCCATGTGGTGCCAACACGCGCGGGGCGGAGCAGGCAGCGCGACGCCGCCTGAAGCTCCTCCCTCGCCCCGCCCCCTCCGCTCCTCCCTCGCCCCGCCCCCTCCGCTCCTCCCTCGCCCCGCCCCCCCAGCCGTCCCTCTCCATCCCCCTCTCTCCATCACTCCTTTCCCTCACTCACCCCGCCCCTTCCCCTCCACCGCCCAGCCCCTCCCTCGCTCTTCCCCCTCCATTGCCCGCCCTCCCCTCGCTCCTCCTCCTTCATCACTGCTCTCGCTCTCTCGCTCCTCTCCTCCCTTTCCCATCCCCTCCCTCCTCCTCCCCTCCCTCTCCCATCCCCTCCCTCCTCCTTCCACCCCCTCTCTCCTCCCTTTTATATGGTTGCTTGACCCGCAACTCCCTCCTTCTCTGCCTAGCTTCCTCATTGCTGGTTTTCTCAGGTCTTTCTACCCAGTGCCCCACCTTCCTGGCCTTGAAGGAGGCCACTTGGGCATTTGGCAAACACGTGCTTGGTACATATGAAGCAACTCAATTCGTGTTTACTAAACTCCACTTAAGTAACTCCATCAAACTATTTCAGGGATTACAGTTCCGGGGGAGACAGCGGTAGGGGTGTGCTTGGAGAAAGGCTGTGCAACAGTGGATCAAATTTTGCCTTTCTGGATCTCAGCGTCGAAGTGGGGGAAAGAGATACGGAACTGTGCTTCAAAGCGGGAAAGTCGTACGCATTTTAAGAGGCACTAGGAAAGTACTATGGAGGGAAAATTTAGGAGTGGCAAGAGTACTGGGAGACTTTGGAGGCAGCAAGTAGATGGGCTAGAGAGTAAGAGTCAGCCCCCAGCGAAATCACCACACCTCAAGTGCTGGAGAATCCCCTACTCTGAAAAGATGGTCAGCCTCTGCCTCAACTATCTATTTTGATTCTACCTGATTTTAAATGGACAAACTGAGGACAAACTCCAAGGAGAGAGGATAATGGAGGAGAGTGGGAATAAATAGGAATTCACTTTTTTTTTTCATCCACAACAGAAATGCCTGTTACATACCTAGCACCATGTGCTGGTGATTCTATGATAAATTAGATAAAGTTGTCATTGCTTCTTGTGTTGTTTGTAGGTCTGTTATCCGTTCAACCGGCTCCAGAATACTGTACCAGGAACTGTGCTAGAAAAGTTGTGTTGTTGGTACAGAAAATTGCTGAATAGCTTTTATGGAACCTAAAATAGCTAGCAACCATGAGCAGCATCCAATACTGTAAAGGCAGCTCTGAAGAAATATTTAACAGCTGGGGATTTGGTGAGATGTTAGAGTGCTTGCATGTTTGAGGCACTGGGTTGTCTCTGACAATACACACACACACACAAAAGTCACTTTTGGAACTCTATCACCAAAACACAAGCTGCAAAGGCACAAGTTTCTGATACCCCCCTCAGCAGACTGTCTTGCAGTATTAAATTCCCATGAGTTGAGAATCTCTATTTGTATGTTTATTTATAGTCCTTGTCCACTTCCTTCCTCAATTGCACTATTAGAACTTCTGGTGTGACCTTCAGAGCTTCTTGGGTTGGAAACCATCACAGTCAATATGCAGGCCAAAGTGGCTCTTCAGAGTATAAAGTGTATCTGTGCATCTTAAATATACTTTTATAGAAGTGGAGTGTCTTAAATAGTTCCTATTACTTATGTGAGATTTAGCACTGAAAGGAAGTTATCCATATGAGAATGTCCTTTTTGAGGAGAGAGGGTAGAGAGTCCAGGAGTGTCAGATGTCTTAAACGACTGACATTACTCAGGTATCTTTAATAAAGCACACATAATGATGTCCCTTGATGAAAGCAATGAGTATTGCCTGAACACCCTGATGTAACTTTCTGAGCAACCAATGGAGTGCAAACAGTATATGTCTCTGTATACCAGGCAATGACCTTGCAGAAGTGAGGCAGCATAGGATGGGGAGGAAGTGCCACAGGCTCTGGACTCCTCTTTCTGGGTCCCAAGCCCAGCTCTGCCTCTTATTTTGGCTGGTCATTAACTCCAACCTCAGTTTCTTTTTATGGATAGCAGTTACTTATAGCAGTTTTGAAGGTTAACTGGACCCATGCACAGGAAACACTTACTACCTGGAACTACAATGACTATTACCATGTTATATGCAAATAAGTTTGCTTATTTAAGATAATATCTACAAAATGGCTTGTAAAATGCTGACATACCTTCAGTGACTCATTATAAGTATTCTGAATGCAAAGGATGTACAGTACCAAAAATCAGGTGTCATAATAAGACCCTAATCCAGTGGCTTCAAACAGTTTTCCTCCCCAACACATCCTAGAAATATTGTTGAGGTCCTCAACTTTGGCTGTGGAGGAGAGGAGAGAGTAGAAGAAGGTAGAATGAGAAACAAGGAAAATGGAAACAGTAAAAATACCCCTAGGCAATTTCAATGTTTATGTTTTATTTTCCCCTTTAAGAATCACTAGCCAGGCACAATGGCTAACTCCTGTAATCTCAGCTATTAGGGAGGCTGAGATCAGGAGTATTGGGGTTTGAGGCCAGCCCAGGCAAATAGTTTGTGAAACATCTCAAGTAATAGCTGGGTGCAGGGGCATGTACCTGTCATCCCAGGCCATGCAGGAGGTTGAGATTGGGAGGATCATGATTCCAGGCCATGATTCCAGTTCATATGATCCCATCTCAAAGGAAAAAAGCTGGATATAGGGACTCATAATGGTCATCCCAGCTATGGCAGGAAGCATAAAATGGGAACATTGTGGTCCAGGCCAGCCTTGACAAAAGAAAATGAGATCCTATCACCAACAAAACTGAAAAAGAGCTAGAGGCATGGTTCAAGCTGCCTGGCAAGTGCAAAGCCCTGAGTTCAACCCCGTAGTACCACTGGCTTACCTTAAATAGTTTAATACTTAGTTGACACAAGATCTACATACACTAGAAGTTCAATGACTATTCAAGACAATACACGACTTATTCATTCATTCATTTATTCATTCATTCATTCATTTATTCATTCATTCATTCATTCATTGTTGAGACCCTGATTTATGCCAAGCACTATTTTAGGCACTGAAGATATATAAGTGAATGAAACAGACTAAGTTCTTACCCTTGTAGGACTTGTATTACAGTTGAGGGAACATAGATAATAAGAAAAAAAATACCAGATGGTCAGAAGTACCTGAGACAAAAACAGAGTAAGATGGCCAGTGATGTAAAATATAGTTTTTATACAAGGTAAGGTGATATTTGAATAGAGACGCCAAGAGAACAAGTAAGTCATGAGGATATCTGAAAATAGAGGATTAGGAAAGATGATTTAGGTGTATATGGTGGGGGAGTGGGGGTAGAAGTTCATATAATTATTTCCAGGACAACAACAAGGCTGACTGGTCAGAGCTGAGAAAATGAGGGAGAGAGTCGAGGGTGATGAGATGAGAAGGAGGTGAGCCATCAATGCTTCATGGAAGTCCTTGGAATCTGCCTTAGGACTTCGGCATCTATTCTGAATGAGATGGGAAGTGGTTGGAGAGCTTTGAGCAGAGAGGGAACCGCTTCTCATTTGCTTAAGAGATCACACTGGCAGCTATCTTGAGAATAGACTATTTGGGGCAGGGAGGGAGTTGGAAGGCCTACAGTTATGAGCGTTAAAATAATTCTTTGGAGAGCTAATTAGAGGATTTTTGATTTGCTCCAAGGTGCTAACAGTGGAGGTACAGTATTTTCCTCTCTATTCATGGTTTCACATTCCACAGTTTCAGTTACCTACAGTCAACTGACACCCAGAAACTGAACAGTACAATAAAATATTTTGAGCAACAAGAGATCATATTAATGTAACTTTTATTGGAGTATTTTGTTATAATTTTTCTGCTGTGTTATTAGTAATGGTTGTTAGTCTCTTTCTATGCCTCATTTATAAATTAAACTCTGTCATAGGTATGGTCAAATAGGAAAAAACAAACAAATATAAAGTTCAGTATTATCCTAGGTTTCAGGTAACTACTGAGGGTCTTGGAAAGTAACCCCACTGATAAGAAGAGACTATTGTAGTGAGTTGTTGCTGAATTTGAGACATAGTTTAGAAGATAGTACTAATAGGATTTGGGACAAATTATTCACACCATATAAAAGAAATAGAAGAGTTAAGAATGATTCCAGAATTTTGCCTGACAAACTGAGAGGATGGAGTTGTTATTTACTGAACTGAAGAGAAGAGTAGGTTATGAAAAAGGGTAGGAATCAGAAGTTTAACTTATGGCATGTTGACTTTGAGATTTCTTTTAGAGATTCTAATGGAAGTATAAACTTGGAGGTCAGGGCACAGTGTCATCAATGTGTAGCATGATATATAAGACCATGAAACTGAAAGACATCACTAGGCAGGAAAGTGTGGATGAAGAATAGACAGCCAAGGCATGAGTTCTGGACCACTCCCATATTTAGAGTTTGGAAAACCAAGAAGGAGCAGTCAGTGAGGTAGGAAGAGGATTAAGAGGCAGTTGGAGGGCTGGGTGCATGACTCAAAAGGTAGAGCACCTGTTAAACACCAGTAACACACACACACACACACACACACACACACAGAGTGTGTGTCCTGGAAGTCAAATGAAGAAAATATTTCAAGGAAGAAGAAATGTGGTCACCTAAGGCAATGTTATATCAGATAAATACTACTTGATTTCATATGCTCCGTGTCATTGGTGACCTTGACTAGAGCAGTTTTCAGTGCAGTGGATCAACTAGAAACCCTAATGAGAAGGATCCAAAGAGAATGAGAGTGAGTATTGCAACTCATTCAAAACTGGGGTGGAGGTGAGAGTAACTGGAGGAATATTTCAAAGGCAGCAAATGTCACATAGTACATTCACTTACTGACGGAATGGTCCTTGGCAAGAGGGAAAATTGCTAATGTGAGAGACATAAGAGGGAAATGCTTGGACGTTGGCATTAAGTAAGGAAAAAAGAATGCAGTATCATGTTCAAGATGAAAGGTTGACCTTAGGCAGGAGTATGGCA